GTCCAACCAGAGACTCTTAGGAGGCCTGCTGGGTCAGACAGAGACCAGTGTAGACATCATCTGGAGAGTGATCAGCAACCTGAAGAAGATGAAGAGTGATGAAATGTCTCCAGACAGAAGCATCAACATCTTCCACTGTCTGATGGAGATGAAGGATCTCTCAGTACATCAGCAGATCCAAGAGTTCCTGCAGACAGGGAACAAATCAGGGAAGATCCTCTTTGGCATCCACTACTCAGCTCTGGCCTACATGCTGCAGATGTCAGAGGAGGTTGTGGACGAGTTGGACTTGAGCGAGTACAGAGCAACACCGGAGGGAAAACAGAGACTGATTCCAGCTGTGAGGAACTGCAGAAAGGCTCGGTGAGTCCAGATGTGATCAACATCATCAGTCAGTGTACATCAGGAGTTGAGTTCTTCAGATGTTCTCACTAGAGAAGCCGTTTAAAATGCTGTGAAAATGTCGTTTTTTTTAGTTGTGTTTAAAGGTTTTAAATTCATCAGCAGTTTTTTGTTTCATCCTAATAATTCCTTTGGCTGATGGAGGCCACATGCAGACCTGCTGGAACACATGAAGAACAGCAGAGGTTCTTGTCCTGGTTTTATCACAGCTTCACTTCATCACAACATGTTGCAGGGTCTGACAGTTTTCTGGGAGAACTGCTTTAATGGAATTTTTGCTGTAACTGTTATGGATTGGTTTTTAATCTTATTTAATTACGCTGTAGTTGCCCATCAAGTTGCCCATCAAGATGGGCAACTTTTGAATGATCAGCTCCTTCCTTGATGCCTTAAATCTGGATGTTGTTGCAGCGTGAATGTCCTTCAAGTTCAGTAATCTTTGATTTCAGTTCACGCTGGGTTTTCTGCATCTGGATTCAAACATCTTTATCCTCTGCGCCAAACGTTTCCACCTCCCCGATGCGTTCCTCAGCTTCATCTCATCTCTGTGATGTGGCCTCCTTTTTTCCCCGCTGTGGCCTCCATCTGGTTAATGTTCGTTCTCCTCTCGCCAATTAATGTCCTCTTGAAAGTTACTTTGGAAGTCCAATAACTGTTTAGAAATGTTATTTTCCCTTCTCAGAGACTGCTCCAGTCATTGTCTCGTTTATGGCCTTGCGGATTGAGGCTAATGTCACAGTTTCTCCTAGCGTAGCCTCGGTGCCACTGCTTGTTTCTTCAGTCTCAGCCTGGTTCTTTTTGCTCCTTAATGCCATACTAAGGCCCTTATCTTCTCCCCCAGGCATTAGTATGTGCCAAAAAGCACTTCCACTATAAATCTTCTGTAATAAAGAGGGAGTAATGGTAGTTCAGTCGGGAGCTGTGTTTTCACACCCTCACCTCGTGCCACCAGAAGTCCTTGTAACTCCAGCTGCTGTCCTTCTGCTGTGTTCATCTGCTGATTAAAGCAAAACACAGATTCAAAGTGTGCAGGTGTGAGAGAGGCTGAATTCAGTTTCATATCAAACACAATCAGAT